TTCTGAGATGGCAAGGAGGGTAGACTAAGGAAAGTGACTGGTCTTGGACAGAGATTGTTCAGAATTATAAAGTCAAGATGGAAAGACTCTACTTGGTCCAGGGTCCTGAAACTATGGCAAGAGTTCCCACCGTTGCTGTGAACACCTGGTCCAGAGCACCTGGGGTTGACGCCGTAGAGCTTCTGTGTAGTGGAAAGGCCTATTCCTCCGTGGGATTCTCCAATGAGCCTTTTTATTCTGCTGAGCTCAGTCTAAATAGCCTTTATTTTCCACTGATCCTTTGGAGCCGTACTTCCTGACATATCTAAACCACCACATCTGCCCTTCTTTGATGCTTGGCCAAGCTCTCCTCACCATATTTTTAGCTCCTATAATCTTTCTTCCTTCTTTCTTTCCTTGACTACTACCTTTCTTCTCTTTGATTCCTCTTTGCTTCCATCCTCTTTCTGGAAGGTCCGTTGATAAAAAGGAAATTGAGCCAATTCATAATCATTCTTCCCCCTTCATGCCCTGCTCCCAAATCTAGTGGCATATAGTTGTTTTTAATTTCCACGGAAGATGTTTTCATTTTAACACCCAAGCAGCAAACTGCCATGCCCAGATAGGAACATATCTGAGGTTTGTGATGTAGAAGGTTTAGGAAAGAAGAGAAAAACTTTGGATGAGAGAATTTGAGAAGATTCCTGAACCATGATGCAAACTCAGAGGACCAGTGATTTAAACCACATGTGCTGGACGCGGACCTATCATGGGCCAAGTATGCAAAATAAGGGTGCCCTGCCCACACCGGCACCCCTTCCCCACCCCAGACTCAGTTCTCTGACGGGGCCACCTGGATGCCCCACAGACACCTCTAATACATTACATTCAAAGCCAGATTGCTTCGTTCCCCTTATCCCCATCAGAACAAGCCAAACCACTACTTCTCCCGAGTTTCCCATCACTAGCTTTTGGACTCAGAAATCTGAACAGGATTGGTAACAGTACAGTGTTGAGCTGAGCCAGAGGCTGGAGATCCTCTTTTTTTTTTTTTTTGGAGATCCTCTTTTCATTTAAAATTTTGATACTTCCTGCAGTGTGAATTTTGGGGGACATGCCTTTATCTTCTTAAAGCTATTACACTGAGGGGCATCTGGATGGCTCCGTCGTTTAAGCCTGTGCCTTCCACTCCGGTCATGATCCCAGGGTGCTGGGATTGAGTCCCGAATCCAGCTCCCTGCTCAGCGGGAAGCCTGCTTCCCCCTCTCCCTTTGCCCCCCCCCCCCCTCTTGTGTTCTCTCTCTCTCTGCCTTACTCCCTGTCAAAAAAGAAAAAAAAAAAAAAAGCTATTGCATTGAAATAATGTTTATGAAATATGTTTAATATATTTTTACAACTTATTTAAAGAATATTTATTTCTTGGGGTGCCTGGGTGGCTCAGTGGGTTAAGCCTCTGCCTTCGGCTCAGGTCATGATCCCAGGGTCCTGGGATCGAGCCCTGCATCGAGCTCTCTGCTCAGCGGGAAGCCTGCTTCCTCTTCTCTCTCTGCCTGCCTCTCTGCCTACTTGAGATCTCTGTCTGTCAAATAAATAAATAAATAAATATTTTTAAAAAAAATAATATTTATTTCTTTATCTTGATTACCGAGTTTTTTGGGCCTAAAGTCGTGTGCCTGACATGAATGTCTCACTTGTCTCACCCTAATTGTGCCCCTGGACCACTCGGTAAGTATTTGTTGCCAGAACCCCAGAAGGACAGGCAGGCAATTCACCTACCTAAGGTAGGTGTTTTCCACCTAAGGTGTAATTCCACCTAGGTAGGCAGAATTCCACCTAAGGTAGGAATCTAGTCCTGGAGTCCAACTGCCTGGGTTCAAAGCCCAGCTCCACCACTGGGCCACGTTTGGGCAAGCCATTCAACCTCTCTGTCTGAGGGGGGTAGTGAGGGTGCCTCTCTCATAGCACCGCTGGAAACATCGTGTGAAGTGTGATGACAAGCACCCTACCCTGCCTAGAGTTTAGGAAAGTCCTTGTAAATGTTTGCTCTCCTTGTTACTAGAATCGGGCTCCTTATCTAGGACTCTCTCCACAACATGGTGCCTTCTGAGCACAAATTATTCCAACTGGAGTCTCAAAGATACCAGGAGCCCCTCAACTCCATCCGCTGAGCTCTCCCAGCTTCTTGGCAATTCCTGCTGTCCTCAGAGGAATTGAAGGCCTCGACTGCAGAGCACAAGCAGGCAAACAGACAGACACCAACATTTTCCTGGAGGCCCAGGGACTGCAGTCAATGTCCTCACTCTTTCCATGAAATAAATCTGCTAAGCGACTGAGGCATGTGAAGCATTGAAATGAGTATCTTGGGCTTCTTCTTGCCAGTGGCCGGGACCACGTAACTGAGCAAAAGACCTTGAGCTGTTAAGTGCCCTGACCTAGACCTGCTGGGCTGTATTTTTAGCCTCTGTGCACTGTTTCCATCACCTGTGCTAGGCTTTAAGCTAGAAGAGAGGGGAGGGAGGCCTAGGGAAGGCTCTAGAGGGATGTTTCTCATAGCAGCCAGTGGGGGCGGGGGCTTGCACACTCTGAGTTCTGTTGTACAAGCCAGCTTCATGGGGTGTGTCACCTGTGTAGTGTCCCCAAACTTAGAAGGGCCCTGCACTTGGTTTAATGCTCTCTCATAGCCACCTTGAAATTCTTAATCATTTTGACCAAGGGGCCCCACAGCTTCGCTTCTCACCGGGCCCTGTGAAGTACATAGCCCATTCTGGTTGTACACAAGGCAGAGAGAACCAACCCAAGGGAGGGGCTGGCACCCACTCAGCAGGAGTGATTTCCTGCAGCGGAGCCCAACAGGCTGAGGCTACTATCATGAGGCCCAAATCCCCAGACTTGGCCACATAAACCCTGTTTTGAACCTCTTGTCTGCGCCTTCCTATCTCCTCCTCAGAAACCAGGATGAGATGCCAAAGGACCTTGTAAATTGTAGAGAGCTGTGTCCTGCTTTACAAAAATGTTTCCCTGCACTCTATTTTAAAACAGTTCACAGACCATTCTCTGCGAACACCATTTCTTGTCTCTGTAGAACTTTTTGCTTTCTGAAATTCACATTATTTCTAGGAGGAAAGGACCAGCTTGTCTTGTGCTCTGGGTATATTCTTCACTGAATATTTGTCGAATGGAGGAAGTTTCACCTTTATTGTCTGCTTTGGGCTGATGGTTTCACCTGCTGTTCTCATTTCATTCTCCTTCAAGGCGCTCCTGCTGCCTCCATCTTCAAGGACCCATGTTACAGGTGAGGAGTTCATGGGTCCTATTGGAAGAAGCTGGTTTTGGAGATGGGAAGGGTCCTGGATGGTGGAGAGGAGAGGATAAGTTGGAACACCGGGTGAGATGTGGAGGATTGGGGGGGTGGGCACTGGGTGAGGGGTGTCCTCTTGAACCAATAAGGCTCCCAGAGGATCCCTGAACTCGGGAAAGGCTGAAAACAATGAGAGAACAAGACTCTTCTTGCCGGGGCTCTGGGTCGTGTGGGTGGAGAGGGACCAAGATTGGGAGGCCTCGTGGGAGGTATCTGCACCTTTGGGGCCCGGCCCTGGAAACAGCTGGGGAGCAGGTTGTGCAGAGGCAGACCTTGGGAGTGGGCAAGGGGGCGCAAGGGCCGGCTTACCGAAGGCGGGCCCCGGAGCCTGCCAGTGGGGAGAGGGGACCGCCCCAGCCCCGCTCTGGGCGCGGCGAGTCTGCACACGAGGGCAGAAGCTCCCGCCGCCACGCCGGGCACAGGCCGGTACTTGCAAGCCCGGGACCAGGGACTTGAAAGCGGCCGGCGCGCCGCCCAGACCTGCCCCGAGGGGCGTCACCGCGGCGCTTTAGGCGGGAACAGAAGGAAAATCTCCTCTGCCTGGGGGAGTGCGGGGGAGGAGGGAGGCCCGGGACAGACCCAGAGTGCAGCCAGGGAAGACCTGGGGAGCGGGGACAAAAGACCTGCCACGCGGGGGCCCAAGACTTTCAGTCACGCGCACTCTGAGCCTCGGTATCCCAGTCTGCAAGAAAGCATCATTCCCCGGGCCACCTCGGGCTCTGTGTTGGGCGCTTTACTTTCTCCTATCTCATCTAATCGTGACGGCCTTGTATTAATTCCTCAGATGACTGAGGCTCAGACAGAGCAGGAAACTTGCCCCAGTTGACAAAGGATGTGCGACAGGATTCGGAACCAGAGTTCAGTATGCTGCCTTTGTGGGTGCCAGAACTGGGATGGTGGAAGGAACTCAACATTTGCTAAGCTCCTACTGTGCCCGTGTAGAAGTTTTCATGCATTGCCTCATTTAGTACAACAGTTTTGGGAGTATGCTATCAACGCTCCCATTTAACAGATGAAGAAACTGAGGTAAGAGAGCTAATTTTTCTTAGACCTGCTCAAGGTCTTACAGGTGACTGAACCCAGACATTCTGATTCCAGACCGCCCTTTTTTTAAACTGCTACGTTGATCAAAGCAGGGAAAAGCGGTTTGCAAACTGCTGTTTTGATTATTACCGCTGTGGCTGAGCCCGCCTTGTGGGTCACGACCTGAGTGAAGGTGGAGCAAGAGTCATTGGGGTGCCCGGCGGGCTCCAACGTAGCCAAAGCTCTGCTGGGGAACTCGGAGGCGGAGCCCCGGACCCCACCCATCACCTGCTGGCCCCGCCCCATCCCTCGGACAAATAACATGCCCCGTGGGGGCGGGCCCAGGTGAGGAAGGGGATGTGGGCGGAGTCTGGAGCGTGAGTGGCAGGCGCGGCGCGCGCACCGGGAAGGGAGGGCGTGCGCAGTCGGCTCCGCCCCTCGGGGCTAGCGGGCGGAGCCGGGCGGGCCCCGCACTGCCAGGGCGGTGGCAGCGCTGAGGAGGGCGGGCCGGGGCGGGGCGGCCGGGCGGCCGGGGCGGGGCCACGCCCGAGCCCCGCGTCCAGCTCCCATGGCCGCCCCCGGCTCCCCGCGCTGCCCCCTCTCCCCCGGGCCGCGCCCCGGGGCCCCGCACTGACGGCCCATGGCGCCGCCCGCCGCCCGCCTCGCCCTGCTCTCCGCCGCCGCGCTCACCCTGGCAGCCCGGCCCGCGCCCAGCCCCGGCCTCGGCCCGGGACCCGGTGAGTGAGCGAGCCCCCGCGCCCGCCCTGCGCGGAGCTCGCCCGAGGGGCAGCGCGGGCCGGCCCGCCTAGGGGGGGCCCAACCCCCTAGCTCCTATTTCCCGGGACTCCTTCTCCCAGCCCCTCAGCGACACCCCCCGGCCGGGGCAGTCCCCCTCCTCAGAACCCGGGGCTTCCCCCCACCCCCACTCCCAGCCCCCAGTGACGCCCCCCGGGCGCCCTCTTTGCCTCAGGACCTACTCCAGGGATCGCTTAGCCAAGCTTCTCCCCGATGCCTCCTGGGCTAGGACGTCTCCTCCGCCTCAGGACTCAGGACCCCGGATCCCCTGCTCAAGTTCCTCAGCGACTCTCCCTGGGCCGGGATGCCCCCTCTGCCCCAGCACCTCCCGGGATCCTGTCTTGTCTCTCAGCGACGCACCCCGTCTCGAGACGCTACACCTCCTCCCCAAGGCCCTCAGCGACTCTCCCGGGCCAGGGTCCCCTCCGCAAGCCCCGCGGCGACGCCCCGCGCCCCCGGGCTCAGGAGCGGGTGCGGAGGCGAGCGCAGCGGGCGCCCAGCCTCTCTGCCGGGTTCCCGGCTGCGCCTGCTTGCAATTTCTGCCTCGTGATGAGTGGAGTTGACTAGCCCGCCCTGCACGCGGTAGGTCCGGGTCGCCGGACGACCCGCTGTACCCAGCCCGGACTCCTCGTCTTTACCTCCGCGGCCGTTTTGAGCCTCCCAAAACTCAGGTGCAGGCCTAGCTTGGAGAGAGGAAGGAAGGGGTGGTGGCTTAAAACCTCCCCTACAGATCTTAGGGTGCTTATCTCGAAGGCGGAATGCAGAGCCCCATTTCCCAGGTAATCCCACCCTTTAAACAGGGTCACCCACTACCCAGGTCAAGGCCAAGGCCAGGTCTTCCCGAGGTTGAGCCCGGGACTAGGATGGAAGCTGGGACTTTGCTTAGCTTCCATACACACCCTTCTTTGCAGCAGGACTTTTTTCCAAGTTGAAGAGCAGGCACGAGGGCGTTGTCTGGCCCAGTTACATTTCTCTGCAGGTTGTTTGGGTGTTGAGAATTGGGCGTTCGTGAAAGGGACGGGAAGGGTTCATTACCGGTTTGCCGGAGTAGGAAAACCGGCTGAGGGTTCTCCACCCAAAGTCGCAGACTGTGATGTTGGAAAGACAGGATTTTGTTGCCGAAAGAAAACTTTGTTGCTTTATTTACTTACGAGCTTGGATGAGTGAAAAAGATAGGACTGGGTGTTGTCACTTACTATGTGATTTTTGGGCCATGGCTCAGCTAAGACTCAGTTTCCTCATCTGTAAAGGAGGGATAATGAGAACTCCCTTAGCCTGGTGTTGGTAAAGATAAAATTATATACTGCAGGTAACGCCTACATATAGAAGGCATTCAATAAACATATTTTAATAATACTTTTTATAGTGCTTCACAGTTCACCAAGTGCTAGACACCTCATTTGCCCTGAGAATGCTATGAGCTTCCAGTCTGATTAAGCCCTATAAAAGGCAAAGCTTGGCTTTAGATCAGTAGAAGGGGGTCTCCAAGTCCTGTAAACCTTAGACTCAGGAAGTGGTTTCTGAGAGATTGGCAGCTTTCAAGGGGACTTCTGCAAAAACTGCTACAGAAGTTTGATCACTTGTGCTATTTGCTGTATGTGAGGAATGAAGGAGAAACTTTCTGAGAGCCAGGATATGTCAACATAACTGTAACCTAGTAACGCTCAGCTCCACTTTGCCATCTGTGTGGTCAGGATTTAATGTCCTCTACGGGGAGAGAGAGGTATGGGTGGAAATAAACTGGTTCCCCTTCTGGAAAGGGCAGAGTAGTAGTCAAGTGCGCCAGCTCTGCTTATGTTTGTTAGAAGGTGGCATCCTTTCCTCAGGCACCTTTGCTTTGCTAGGAGGGGTCAAATACAGCAGCTCTTAGGCAGTTTGAACCTCAAACCTTGGTACACTTTTATTTAGGAGTCTGAGTTAGGGACAAATAAATAACCATTGTGAGGTGATTTGTGGTAAGTGGCCCAAGTTCCTGCCTCAGTAAGCCTCACCAGCAATTTTTCCTACCATCCAGGTACACCAGGGCTTTCCTCGGCTTTTCCTTTTTAGTTCCAGAAGTAGTTTTAGGGAGATACCACATGGTCTGAAGCATCACATCCTGTCCCAAGACTGTCTACTAGTTTTTTAAATCCTTGAGGATATGCCAAACTTGCTGTTTTATATTTTTTGATACTGTAATTTTCTCTAAAATTTTGTGGATGGAAAAATTTATTTCAATACTTGTATTCTGCACAATTTTGTAATATTTAAATTACTGGTGGTTTGCATTTTTGAATGCTGACTTTATAAAAACAGTTAGCTCATTCCCCATCAATGCTAGTTCTAATTACAGTGTATAACTGACCCCAAATGATCTCCCTTCTCCTCTTCATTCTTCCTTTGAGAATCTCTCCCTTCCTTCACAGCTGATAAGGAGGAAGACAGAGGTTGATGGTGGAATCTAGACTCCCTTTTCAAGGAGGAAGGCAGCCAGGGCCATAGGGCTGATGGGCTCCCATCTAGAATTTACTGACCTGGAGGGGAGAGCCTAGAGGTAGAAAGAACAGGGAAGGTTGGGTAGAATTGTGCTATTTGAGTTTTGCTCCTGAGGCAACTTCCCTGCTTGGGTGTTTCTCTACATTAGGGGGCTGTCAGGTGTGCATCTACAGAGCTTCTCGATTCAAGTTAGATTTGCTGTGAACACCTTTTTTGATACTCATTCTCCTCTAAACCCTCATCTACTATTCATCCTCTTAGCCAGTAGTATGTCTTGCCATGAAACCCATGAGTTCGGTGAACAGTGAGAGCTTCATACGGTATAGAGAACTGATCCTCTTAGAGATACCATTAACGGTTTACCTGAATGCAAGACAGGGGCTGATAGGAGTAAAGTGGACGGACATGCTTTTGTACTTTAATGTCGACCCATTATTTTTATGCTCTGAGTATTTTAAGAAACACAAAACTGTCAAAACTGACCTGATAACCAGAGACCTCTGATGTTTTTATGAAAATTTGTTTTGGTCTCTAGACAAATCTGTTTAAATGTTTGAGATATGCAATGAGACCTTTTATAAATCTGAAAGCAAAAAAGAAGTTCCAGGGACGCCTGGGTGGCTCAGTGGGTTAAGGCCTCTGTCTTCAGCTCATGATGCCAGGGTCCTGGGATTGAGCTCCACATTGGGCTCTCTGCTCAGCAGGGAGCCTGCTTCCTCCCCACGCCCTCACCTTCCTCTCTGACTACTTGTGTCTACTCTGTCTGTCAAATAAATAAATAAAATCTTTAAAAAATTAAAAAAAAAAAAGTTCCATTTAGGCTCCCTCCTAATAAATAGCAAGTTGGCATACTTAATATAGATATTATTGATAATATCACTATTTAGCATAGTCAAAGCAGCAGCAATAAATGATGAAGATAAAATGTATTGCTTTAAATACCTTCACAATATGCAGATTAGGGATTTTTGGTGATGGGCACTATAACATCTTTAGTTTAGGATTTGGGGTCCTGGAGTGAGGCTCTAGGTCAGGTGTTGGCAGACATTTTTTGTAAAGGGCCAGACAGTAAATAATTTCGGCTTTGTAGGCTCTGTACTGTCTCTGTTGTAGTTATTCCACTCTGACTTTGTAGGGGAAAAGCAACCAGAGACAAATATAAATGAATGGGTGTGGCTATGTTCTAATAAAATTTCATGGACACTGACATTTTAAAATTTCATAAAAATTTCCTAGGTCACAAAATATTATCCTTTTGATTGTTTTCAGTCATTTAAAATTTTTAAAAACTAATGCTAGCTCAGGGACTATACAAAATAAGGGAGTGGGACAGATTGGGCCCGAGGTGTACTTTGCTAAGTCGTGCTTAAATTCCTGTGTATTGATTTCTTTCCAGGGCTCAGTGGTCTGGAAAGGTGAAAAGGAGACTTGGTTTTGGTGACTAAATGAACCCTTCACATTTTACTATTAACTGTTTTTAAGAGACATATAGGGAAAATGGTTAAAATGGTGAATTTTATGTGTATTTTACCATAATTTTTTTTAAAGATACATGAGGGGAAGTTCATGCACATATATTTGGATCTTTAATAATACTTTTTAAAATGCCTTAAAAAAATTCAGTATGGTTCAGTGTGTACTACATACACTGAAGTAGTGTCTGCCTTGGAACTGGCCCATGGTTTGTTCAACCATGCAGATGTTGCTTGGAGCAAACGGTTGAGAGATCTGTTTCTCAGAGGAAAGCCCAGGCAGCAGGTGGCACCAGCCTGAGACACAGAAAATCAGCCAGGGGGAAAAAAAAAGAAGAAGAAAACAAATTTCTATCACTTTACTAAACAGTTCAATTTTACTTCCATGGTACTGTCGTCATTTTTAAAGTGGCCTTTAAAAAACAACAATGTGCTTAGCATGGCTGATTATTTTGTTTTAATTAAAACATTTTTGAAAAAAACAAAATGAAACATTCAAACATACCAAGTTGATTGTGTTTGTACTGTGGAACAGTTAATGCAAAACACTTGAGAGAGGCCGGAAGTTTGGATCTGTAGCCTTTGCCTGAGTTTTTGCCTCCTGAAGAAGGACAACAGAGGAAGATACGAACATGTCCTTTGGAAAACTACCTGTGGCGTTTTTAAGATGAGGTCTCAAGCCCCCTGATGCCATTTGGCAGGTTGGCTTCTTACTGTCTCACTGTGCAGCCCCTCAGTGGGGCAGAACAATGACTGACATTCCTTCCATATTCAGTTTGACCTGGAGAGTCTGGCTGGAACTCAAAAGTATTAGACCCATAGGAGCAGCCCTAGTTCACTCTGTTTTTCCCCCTCTCTCTGTTGTCTTCCGTGTCTTCCTCTCAAGATGGCAGTGGCTTCTTCCCCAGACCTCACCTCTGAGACATTATTCTGGGTTCAGACTGAACAGAGAAAGGAAAGAGGCCATTGTGGATATGTCAAAAGGGTCCCCATAC